ACTAATTGATTTGTCTCATTATTCTGTACATAAAAGTATTACGGTAAGATTATCGAAAACTAAATATTTTATGAGATATTTTATTTTTTATATCAAAATATGTCAGAATAAAATATAAAATAACTCAAAAAGTACTTAATGAAAAAATACTTTATTATAGTGTTTTGAAAAGCTCTCGAGATAAGCTACAAGAATATGTAATAAAAAAAGGGGGGTTCTATTTAAGAAAACGTCAATCACATTGATCTCACCTTGAAAAGGTCACTCAAGGTCAAATCCATATTTTTATCATGTGGCCCCCTCCGAACCCTACAACTTTTGTTTGAAATATTTTTTTCGATAAAGCTTACTTTCCGAGATATTTTACAGTTTCAAGTTTAAAAAATCACCCTGTATATTTCAGTATTATGCAAAATCGGAAAATATTACTTTTATTTCTAATGAAAAGAGCTATTGATAACCTCTAATGTCATCATCGATGCGGCATTATAAATGCATTGATGTTTATTAATAGAGTTGTCGTTTCAATAAAATTTATGCACAAAATATAAAACGCAAATTGATTAATTGAGATTACTTGTCAACGTCATATATTACTTTATCAGAGTATATATATGGTATATATATTTTAGTTTGTCGTTATTTAATTGTTAGAATTTTTATCACGTTACTTTCTCTCTCTTTCTCTCTTTGAGATTGATGTATACAAATCATCCATTTTTAAGAGACACGTGTATTAATATGTTAATGTAGCAGTTCGTGATATTGATATGATATTGATTCTTGTTTTCTCGGAATTACACACATTTTTTATATAAATCTCGCGGTATATAATTCTTTTTTGCTTTTTTTTAAGCTAATTATATAATTGTTACAGCAAAATCTCAGTGTTTCTTATAAAATTGTTTATAGTTATATTAATACAATAATATATAATATATTGTTTATAACTATATTAATTATTTTACTTTTTTCTTATTCAATTAAAAATATTTTAATTATTTTTAATTTTTATTGTGCAACAAAAGATTAAATATCTTGAATTTCTCGATAAATTTTTAATTGTATCAATATATTTATCTAATAAAATAGATATAATATGACGTTCTCATGCTAGCCTGGAAAATAAGTGCTTATAAAGAGATTTTATTCCTATCAATTTTATATAAAACAGTTGTAGTGGCGCCATCCATTGCTACAGACCGAAAGATCAAAATGGATGCAGCGTAATGCTGCGCGATAACTCTCATCAAAACTGCAATTTACCGTTGATAATATTCTCTCTTTTTTTTCTGTCTGATATTTTATATCAAATGTATTACCTTCTGAGAAAGAAATTATTAAGTGTGTGTAAAAGAGTTATGCTTTAACATAGTCCTCTTATTAAAGTTTAAAAAAAAATCAAATCAAATAATTACCTTTTCAACTGTTAAAAAAAGGACTGTCAAGTTAATGCTAAAATTAAGCGCGCGATAAACGAGTTGAAAGAATCAAGTGTCGAAATTTCTTTTCTACTTTCGACCTCAATGTTCAATCTAACGTCTATTTTGGTACTTTAAACTTTGAGCAATCAACTCATTCTATTTTGAAACTATTTAATCTTTAGTTTTGTCGAAAGCTCTTCCTTTAAATGTCTAATTGTAAGTGGAAAACTGTCTATTTGAAGTACAAAAAATAAACTTAGATCATTCTATGTATCGAAATCCTTTAGATTACATAAACATGAGAAAATAGAGGTTGAAAATGGAAGCAAAATTTCGACTTTGGGTTCGTTTATCGTTGGCATCTCCTAACGTCTTTTAAGTCGATCCCCGTACTCAATCAATGACAGTTTCTCCCTGCGGGTACAGGCGTCGATAATGCTTTACGTGCGGATCATGTAGATATAATTTTTCACACGTATGCATCACTTTCCGACATGGTTTGTCCCCCTAATGTCTCGCGCATGAAATTTAACATGTTCATGTTTTTCGCATAATTTTCTCATATCGCAATCGCGCACACGTGATTAAAGGCACACATGCCAAAATTTCTTTGAACAGACATTAAAAGAACTTTTTGAAGCATAGAATTAAAGAGCATAAATATTACTCATATCGCTGTTATAGGGCCTGTTATAATTGTATTCTTAAAATCGGAAGAAAGGAAGGAAGAGGAACACTTTCTTGTATTTTGATACCGGATGATAAGCGCATATGCGTGCCGCGAGTGCGTCCTGTGAAGGATCTCATCGTTTTCTTTTCCACGTTCGCGAGATAGGTTCCCACGAGCAAAGTCAAACGCACGGTCTAGAAAGGCAATAACCAAAGATGATTAAGATATAGTCATTTTGTTCTTCGCTTCCCTGCTTTCCCGGGCGGTTCGGCTTGTCGTGCCGACACGAATGCAAACGCGCGGCGCAGTCGTTAAACGTACAATTTAACATGTTCACGTTTTTCGCATAATTTTCTCATATCGCAGTGATTATTGGCGCACATGTCAAAATTTCCTTGAACGGACATTAAAAACTTTTTGAATCGCAGAATCAAAGAAAATAAATATTACTCATACTCTACAGCGAGTGCGTTCTATAAAAGATCTCGTCTTCTTTTCCACTACCTTTCCATTGTTTATTGGTTGATTCGGATGATAATTCTTCCCTTTTTTCACATTAGAGTCATAGACCGACCCAGCTGTCCCGAAATGCCATATCGATGAAAGGATTACACATTGTATGTTTATATGCAACTATTTTATACGACGAAGAAATGTTGGGAGATAACTTGACTAGTAAACATTTTATATCTCTGTCGTAAAATTTAAATCGATAAACGATATTTTTCTCTTTATTCTTTTTCCTCTTTATTTTCTATCCGCGTAAAATTATACCGCGTTACAATCATTACGTTGTTATAGATTTTGCAAAAAGTAATAATGTCACATTTTCAAATAT